TTATTTGTGTTGATAACATGTGAAGTATTATATTTTTTTATCATGCTAGTGACAGTAATCTATCGTGAAATGTATTGATCAAATTATTAGGTGATTCGACTATTTCATAAATCGTTTAATATTACATTTCTTTTAATTTCTACATTTTTGGTAGCTCTAATAATATTAATATTAATAGCTGTTCTAGTAAAATTAATATTTCTAATATTAATTTATCAATGAAATTACTAGATGCTTGTGCTAGAAATACGAATAATTATTAGAATTTATACAACCAGTGATATCAATGTGACGTTTAAAAATTGTTCTCAGGTGCTCGGTTCGCTCATATTCAGAGCAAGGTTGGCCTGACGACGATACTACGCGATCACAAAGTCGACGTTTGTGAGAAAACCACAATTCCGTACAAACTGGACAAGCGTGTCTTTTTCTTAAGAATGGATGGTGGTGTGAATTTAAAGATATCTAAAGTGCAGAGTTAATGCAAATGATTGTCCCATTCTTTTAGTTGTAATTGTAAATGGTTTAAGTAAAATTTTATTGTTGCGTACGTGTAATTCCTGCAATATATAGAGATATATTCATAGGGGCCCGAGCCTGTTTTATACCTTTCCGTCCGCGAATCATTTCAAACTATCGTTCGTTTAATTGTCTTGGCGTAGGTTAGTTAGAATTCCGAAATTTTGGGGCGTCAACCGAACGATAGGTGCCAACAGTACCTGGAGGGCAGCAACCATAACTGACTCGTCGACAGGGGAATGAAACCAATAAGCACAGCGACGTGATAGCGCGTGATAGAAGTTGGGACTTCTTGTTGGTATGAAAAACCGAGTTGTTTCTCTTGGATTGTTATAATGAAGAATATAATAATAAATTTCTTCATGCGAACAAGAAATGCAAATTGTCTCTTTTTTCTAGAAGCAGTAACGGTTAAACCATTACGTTTCGTAATGTAAGGGATAATTTTACTTGAAAATGAACGCACTGGTGCAGAATATCGAGATTGCACCTTCAGATAATTATGGAGCCTGAGCAAACCTCGGAAAAATTAAAAGAATTTCAATTTATTAATTTTGCTGCTATCGGGGAGGATGTACAAGATAAACTCCAAATACCTTCAATTATAATAATTTAAGACAAATCGCTATATTCACCTGAAACCCAATGATATTGGTTAAGAATTAGGTAATGTAATTTGTATAAAATATAATCTCATTCAGCTGAGAATGTGTTAAGCTAATATTAATACAAACGTTATGAGTTCTCTTGAAATTGATAATAAAATTTTAGTTAATAAAAATCCAAGAAATCGTATTGATATTTTAATAAAATATCAAATCTTTGTAACATCACAATTTTTTTAAAATAAAAATCCAATATTCATTTAAAATATTTCAAATTTTGCTCATGCTCCTTTTTTCTGAGATTTATAACCTCTCGGCGACTAAAGTGTAAAATACATTGAAAAAAAAACGAAAGGCCAAGGAAGAATAGGAGAAAGTTAAAGGAGACTTTCATTTATGTATTTTACGAGAAATCATTCAAATGATGAAACTGTAGTTTCAACTATCATAGTAATAATAGACTGTGGATTTTTGTCCAGTTTTAATTTTTCTTTTTTAGCAACATAATTAAATAAGTGGAAGTTGAATAGAAATCGTTTAATTTATTACGATAAATATGATTTTGCATATTATATGCAAATTTCTACAATTTCGCATAAATGCAAGTAACGCTGACAATTCAGTTTTATAATATGAATGATAATTTGAATAAGTGACTCAGCAATATCATCTTTCTCATTTATGTGTTTTATGGCACATGCTTATCTAAGAGAAGAAAAAGGCGCGGTTGTCAGTAATTACTCTATAGCGTTGTAAATACCAAGAAGGACATTAAAATAGATAAAAATTTCTTTTTGTTTTGAAAAAAAACTTTATAAATACATATGTATAATTATATTTTGCAAATGCGAATTTACTAAATGAATTTCTATTAAAATATAAATAGTGAAAAGAAACTTTAAAATACACTGACAGAAACATCAAATAGAGAGTACATATTTATACAGAATATGACTACATAATCAGGATAATTTCGAAACAAAATAAATTGCTATTAATTACATTGTTAATGATATGTTATTAGATCGGAGTTTTTTTCACCAATATAGGAAAAATCAAATTACTTCGTGTAAATTCTCCAAAAGCGCAAATATAATAAATTTTATCAGACAA